AGGACTTGGATCAAAATCTAGGAGTGCTTTTTCGCAGCGTGTTCTATTGATGTTGCAAGGCCCATTAATTCATTAGCTCATCTATTAACATTAATATTTTAGAAGAGCAGAGTAGTTAGAATTTTCCCAAACAGACATATTAGACTTCCACTTTCTCAGCTCTAAGTGTTTGTGTATGCGCTGTCTTTCGGCCCAAGTTGTTTTACATGCAGACAACCAGATTTTCACACTGTGGTATTTAACTAGCTAATCTGCACGCTCACGTGCTCGGCAATAGTTATTAATGGTACCCTACCGTGAGCTTTTATACGGACAGGACAAGAATAGGAACAGGCTATGCAAAATCCAGGCAGCATATGAAACTGCAATTTCATCAGCTTTCTAAACTTAATAGCTCAGTTTTATAATTTACTGAAGTTAATGGGATATATTTTTAAAGCGGTGCGCAATTCCCATTGATGTTAATGTGAGTTGCGCATATAAATCCCCCTGCAACACTTCCAAATTCTGCCCCCGATATGTTCTGCAGATTGAATTCCGAAAACTAGTTATTTCTTTGGGTTGCTGACCTGTCTTCAGAGAAACGCTGAAGCACAGAAAAAGCAGTTAAACCACTAAGATTTGGGAATTACAGATCTCATTTTTGTTTCCAGTGCGCTTTTAGGGAAGCTGTTTGTTAGCAAATGATCAGGAATTGTCAGATTGCTGTTCTGAATGGAGTCTACCTTTCTCCCAGTAATGAACATTGTGCCCCTTTGTTTTAGATGCCAACGTGGACGTCATCTACATCTGCCCCCTTCATCTGAGTGAGGAGTTACTGCAGTATTACAATAAACTCCTGGGTCTGCAGGCAGCTGTTAGATCTGGGAACCCCGAGGACATGGGTGACCTGCAGGACAGGTTCAAAATTCTCACCCCTGAAGCTATAAACAGCTTCCCTGTGAGTTTGTCTTCTAATTACTACAGCTTGAGGGATGCAGTAAAATTAAATTGGAAATTTTATAACTTGTAACGCTCTGGTACACATCAGTGAAATATTATTGCAAGTTTAAGGGCTTTACTGATTAGACTACTAGTTAGAGCATTGGAAATAAATATCCCGGTTTAGCTTTATAGACTTAGTTGAGATAGTCCTATATTGGCTATTTGTAGTCCACTGTCCCTTCTTACTATATGCTTGAGACGGGGAACTTGATAGATTTATATCTCTAAGCAAATCCTAGCAATAAACCATTCTTATTACTCCAACTTTGTCTCTGGGCAGCCCAGCATTCAATCATTCATGTGTTTGCAGTGCTTCTTGCAATTAAATCCAATGCAGAACTTCTTAAAGAACAGCACTTAAAACTACTTAGGTTAGGTAACACAGGAATATTAGTTCCAAACCTGTCAAGTCAGTTTAAATCGAAAAGATTAGACGTGCTAAAGCATGCTCTAAAAAGAGGCCTTAATGAATGTACACTACATACGGTGTTTCTGAAAATAATGTGGTGCAGTGAAGATTCGTTACAGTGGAGAATAATTTTATATTGTAACTATTAAGTCCACAGTGTCTTAAGGCCACGGTGTCTTAGCTGAGATTTGATTTTTATGAAATTTTGCGGTACGTTTATATCTCTAGGGTCTATGCTTGAAGCCCTGCTCCTGGTTTTGATATATATTAATAAACCTTTTGTAGTTATTTTGTTGAACAAGTATTTGTTATACCATATGCTGATTGAAACTGATGGCTTCGGAAGGTAAAGAAGCTTTTTATATGTCGTAAGTGTGTCGGGTTCTGTAGTAGCGTACTGTTCAGCAAAACACTTGCGTACATGTATGAATCCATTTCTTTGAAACAGTCTGAAAACACCTCTGTGAGAAAAGAGCTCAGCTCTTTTGCTGTACAGGGAGGGACCCCTGAGCCAGAGCTGTCTGAGAGTTTTGCCATAGCTAACATGAATTCTGTAGATACGAACGTGTTCTGTTTTCTGTGCAGTTGGAGAAAGGCACCGAGATGATATTTGTGTGTTTCGGAGCTGCCTTTTCTGTAGTATTGTCCTTTTATCTGAATACTGGAAACCTACAGGAATCAGCTGCCTGCGCTGGGCCTTTTTCCTCTCAATTGCACTTTGGCAATTGCAGCTGTTTTTTCACCGGATACTGGGTTATTTTTCCAGTACTAACTACCAAATATCAGAAGCTTTAAGAAGTCTTCTACATAAAACACGCTAAAAGTATCATCTAAAACACATCATATTATGGATAAAAGATGTGCTGCTAAACATGGGCAGGCTGTCCAGGAATGGAAAATGTCTTTCGTGGATGATTTTGGTTGTGGTGATTTGGGTGAAGTAGTTTTAATGTAAAAGCAGGTTGTTTTCAGGCACGCATCTCTTGTGTATAGCCTTCACTCTTCCATTTCTGTCAAAATATTCCAAACAAAGCTTCTTTTCCAGAAAGAAAAGAGCAAAAAGCTTTGTGAAAATCTGCTCTTATGAAGAGCAAACAGCTTTGTGAAAATTTCTTATGCAGCTATGATTTACTGGGAGACGTTTACATGCTCTGATGTCGGGGGCTAACCTTAGTTACAAGGGCTACACAGTTCTTCCATGGGCGTGGATCGCGCCGCTCACCGGGTTGTGGAATGCCGGGAAGGGTGTTAGTGCCAAGTGCCATCAGAAATCACAGGTTTTACAGGATACCAGGTTGAGGTATACCCTTGGCTGCTCAGTGTGGTGCATCTGTTTATATGCAAAATCCTCAAACTCCCTTGTTTTCATTAAGCGTATGTTCTTTACCATCTATTAGCTAACGTGTCCAAGAAATGTATCTTTTGTGTGGAGAAGAATCTATGCTCGTAACTGATCCTAGTCACCCACCAGCTTCAGTGACTGTGGATTTAGCTGTCATTTTGTCTGTGAAAGGGTTAGAAGTGTATAGGTTCTTTTTAAGCGTGCGTCTTCTGGGTTATTTAATAAAAAGCTTTTGTTGTACCTAACATATCTAAAGTTATTCCTAGTATATGAAAGTCTGGCTTGAAGGCCACCTTAGCAGGCTCCTTAGAGAAATTCTAGAAGCACAAATCAGCCTTGGCCAGTTTCCTTGCTATTTGGATGGAACTGGGTGGAAGGAAAACCTGTGGAAAAGACACCCAGATGCAGGTAGACCTGTGCTTGTTGGTGTCTGCAGGGGGGAGGCAGAGAGAGACTGTGAGGAAAGGGTGTCCACGTGCCGTTGTCCTTAGGCGGCTGGCTGCTGTTAGAATGACCTCTTGTGACTCAGTGCCTCCAGTGCCATGTGAAACACCCCTAACAAAGGGCTACGCTCTCCTTATTCTCAGCTAGCAGCGTATCAAAACAGCATCGTGGTAGCTTTGCTCGTCATGGTGAGGCTGATGCCAAGGTCAGCTTCTCTGATCTTGAGAAGTTTTTAAAAAAAAAAAAAAAATCAACAGGCTTGAGAACCAAGAACTAGCCTTTTGGTTAACCTACTAACCGCTATTCTGTGCAGTTTCGTGCTGGAATTCTCAGGATTCCTCTGTTCTCCTGCTTTTACCTGCTTTCACTCGCACTACTATATATCATGGCAGCTATACCACTCTCAAAGCAGGAATGAACTAGATTTTACAGCCTGCTTCCTGCACTCCTTAATTAACTGTAAAATCCATTATTGAGAGACACAAAGCAAATCTCGTCCCTACATCACCACTCGTGGCCCCAGGGAGCGAGTGACCGGGGCTGGAAATTGATCCTGTTCTCTACGTGGCAGAACTCTGCCACGAGCCCAACAGAACGGGCCATCTCCCTGCTTTTATACCGGTGCTCAAGAGAAAGGAAACAAATTAATTGCAATGTTAAGAGTCTCAGTTTTAAAACTGATGGAAGGAAAAAGACTCCAGGAGAGCTGTTTGTTGTTCTTTTTGCCCTTATCCTTCTGTGACTCCCCTTTTTCCTACTAGAACTTTGAAGAGTATCTCATTTCTCCGACGTATATCCTCACTCTCCTTGCAGTATGTCTGGCTCCTTTACAGAGAGACTTGGGCACTTCTTGGTGTGTGTTTGGTATGAGAAAGCACTGAGGACTTGACAAGAGGGGATTCCTTTTGTCCACTTCCAGGGGCTCCCCCATCTCCTTATCCACCATCATCCCCATCCAAGTAGTAGAATCAGGATTTATACTTCAGCCCCTGTGAAGGACCATCCAAGGACTTTGAAGGAAAACATTCTGGGTTCTCCAGTCCTGGAAATCCCCAGCAAATCCAGTATTTAGGCCAGCCTGAAAAGGAGTACTTCCCTTACTAGGGTCTAAATTAGATGAAATCTCTGAAGAAGCTTTTCTTGTTACGATTCTGATTTGTTTATGGCGATCTATTGCAGTGGATGTCTCTTGTATTATTTCTGCATGATGTCCATCCCCATCTGTCTCAACCTCAGTGCACCTCTGTCTATACCTTCAGAACGATAATTGGGTTATCTGCAGGCCATGCATAGGATATGCTGTAGAAAATATTTTTGAGGTTTCACCTGCCACGACTAATGTTCTTAGTTTAAATTTAGAGGTTATAGCATCTGTCATGAACAGCTTGTTCAGCAATAGATCTTCTTTTTCAGAAGAAATGAAAAATTCCTCCCAAAAAGTTGAAACCCTTGTAGTTCAAACAGCAGCAAAAATACTACTCTCTCCCCGAGTACTCTGCAGGTGCGTTTACAGTAGCTATCAGAACTACTGTGTAATGGAAATGTATATCCCCAGTAATTTAATGTGATCGGTGAAAGTTTTTGTAAATCAAAGTGTTTTATTCTCAGGGAATCGCTTAAAATACTGCTGAACTGTACAGTGAAATACATTCCCTGCTATAGGGGTTTTTCTTCATTTTTGTATTGATTTTTAGGAGCTTTAGAGTTAAACCATGCCAGAAGTGTTGCTGAGATGAATCACTATTATCCAAAGGCCACCAGCCTCTCTGCCGACTGACAGAAGGATAATTCCGCATGGATCAAATAAATACAGATGTGTAGTAATTAGTTCTATTCCCAGTGAGCCCATTTCCAACACACTAAAGATGTGCACGATTATGGAGCCTCACCCCAACAGCTTTTATCAATTTAAACTGCTTAGCTACAGGATAGGTCATAACCCAGCCTGCTATTAATAATGTATTTATTGTGTGCAACATTATAAATTAGGTTCATGGAATAGAAAAGAACACCTTTTAACAAGAATAATGTTATCTTTATACAGAAGCATCACATGTGCCTAGCCACTCAGCTGAAGTACAGTCCCAAGACGATCAAAAGAATAAAAATTCTTATCCAGAGCAGAGATGCCTACATTATTGGAGGGGTTCCCCACAAAGATGATTTAGCGGTGGCCGACATGCTAAATGTGCCTATATTAGGCTCGGTGCCAGAAGTGGCTCATCTCTATAGTACCAAGTCTGGAAGTAAACGAATTTTTGCCAGCGCCTGTGTGCCAACCCCTCCTGGAGAATCTGACATCTTCAACACTGAGCAGGTAAGCAGGATGTGGTCTGGGATGCGTCGACGCGCAGATGCCTGTTTTCACTTGATAGGATGCAAACTTTGTGCCGTTGCAATGACTGTATTGATTAGACCCTAACTGGGTGTGATTAAATCATGGATGAGGTTGGGTTCTTTTTTGGCGCTCTCTGACCAATTAAATGCAATTTGTATCCTAGTCAGGAAGCAATACAATTGTTCTGGTATTCTTTATGGTCTTTCTTGAGAAGAGATAAGGGCATTTGGTCCAGTTATTTCAGTTTGTGTTGCTGCTCCATGGATGAAGTCATGGCCTCGGTGAGATTAACAGGCGTTTTACTAGTGACTGAAAATAGAACAGGGATTTCTGGGAAAATTAAGTATTTGATGAAGGGAAAATGTCTTCCACTTAGGAAGTCAGCCTATTCAAATGGAGGTTCACTGAGCATACCTGCAACTGAAGTTTTACCTTGTATCTGCCTTATCATTGCTAAATTCACCTTTCTTGTTAGCATGACCAGTAAGAAAAGCAAAAGCTATTACTAAACTGAACTTACAAGGCACAAGAGTTTTCTGTACTGTGTTCAGTTTACGTATGTTTATTTTGCACTCAGTGCCTCAGTATTTCATTCTCTAAACTGATTTTGCAATTTGCAATGATATGTCTAAGTATGATCTTCTTACTGATTTTTTTTTTATAAATGATATTTTTATGGTGGTGCTACATCTCATACATCTCACCAGGAAAATAATCAGGTTTGTATGTATTCCTACTTCTTAGAGAGGCTTTTCACATTGCTTTGCTTTTTATTAATCACCTTTAACACCGAAGACAATCTAAACTACACAAACACATTGCAACTTCTATAGCAGATGAAATAAATATGTGATCAATGATCTGAAAATCAACTGTTTGATTTATTGTTAAATAATTTCCGTGAATTTAATACTTTTGATTCATACTACAGTGTTATGGAAGTTCTCCTTCTGTTGTTTGCTTGTATGAAATATCGACATTTTTAGGTTAAATAATCAAAGCAAGGTGACACTATGTTAAATCACAATTCAATTTTCACTTAAAGATAGCGCCTAATTCTTTATGATTGCTACAGTCCCTATAATATTATTGATCCTTTTCATTACTGTAGGGGAGTCATCAAGAAAAACACATTTATGCGATTCTCAAAAGCCACAAATAACAGCATCTGGAACACACATGTAATTGTATTTTAGGTCAACAATAAAAAAAAGAAACAAAAGTCCCAAAAATTACTATGTAAAAATGTAGAAGGCTCTAGCCAATGCAACAAGATCTGACAATACTTTTACCAGGTTCAAAGGCATTTGCAGTTTCTAAGAAGCTAATTGCATCCTACACCAGCTGGGCAAAAGACATTTTAAAGCCATTTAAATCTGTGTACATACACAAATAAATAATTAGCATTTTTATAAAGCCTGCCTGGTAACTCCTTTGTACATTTATAACCATATAATGCACTCTCCAGTAGGAAAATTTCACAGATGTTTTGGCTGGTGTTAGAATCTGGCACAATTGTTTCTCAGATTTTGCAAATAGTGTAGTCCGTCCCATGTTGTTCCCTGTCACAAACATTTATTGAGCAGTACTGATTATCCAAAACCTAAGATCCTGATCAGACAAAAAAGCCTGGACAGGCAAATTTCTCTCTGCAGAACACAGCTTCACCGACCGCCCAAGGTGCTCAGTTGCTATTCGGTAGTCTGCGCGAGTGGACTCAAGTACAGGATGAAGGCCATAGATTCTTCATCAAAAAATTGTCAAGGTTGCTTTTGCTATGTATCGAAGATAACTGTAACAACACAAGCATCTCTAAGAAAAAGAAACCGTATTTAGAAAATAAATTTCAAGTCCAAATATTTGAGAACTGGAAGTCTGAATTGAAGAACAATTTAATTTTGTCATAGTGCAAAACATCTTTGTGTCGTTGCTCCACAGATGATTAGCGTTCTCAGCCAGCTCATCATTGAAAATATGGAAGTGCGGCGCTGGTTGTTTAAAGTGAATGATGAATCTGGAGGCAATGGCACTGCCTATTGTGATATTATTTCGCATTTGAAATGCTACCACTGGGTTCAAAAGGAACGCCAGAGATACAGCCCTGAGATATGGCGTAAGAAGCGGGCACACGTAAGTAGCGAAGGAGGAGGGTGTCTTTGTCATGGCTTCTTCACAGTCTGCTGGGGTTTTTCCTCACAGTAAATCTTTTCTCTGAGCTTTCATTTTAAGGCATCGGTAAGAGTTGATATTACAGACTCCAGACTAACTTGTACACAGTAATAGGTAACAGTAATTCAAATAAAACAGCTAAGTATTCCAAAATATAAATGAATGCCTGACATCCAGCCGGGGACTAAGTTGGGTGTTACAACATTTCCGTCACATACAATCATCTGCAAATTTTACATAGCTCTTTTTATGCAAATTGACAACACGTATAAATGAAAGTATATAGGTGGTAGACCCTTATATCTACATAGCAACTTGGAATTATTGGAATGGAAATGTTGGACTAATATACTCGAACGATACTGATCAAGTTGAAACCACATACGAACTGCTTAGTTTTTAAACTGACTTTCTAAGGATTATTTTTTCTGTACATTTTTCCTCACTAATAACTTTCAAACCTGTTAGCTGTTCTCATCTGTGTAAGACAGAACACTTGAGGTCTCGGAGACCATTAGACTCCTGCATGTTTCATGACAGTGGGTGTTTAGGTAAGGAGAGAGACCTTTTAAATACTTAACTGAGGGAAACAGTATAGCATGAACTCATGCGCTAGTGGATTCCTAAGAAACCACATGATTGAGAGAGGCTGTAAAATGATACATTTCAACCGTAGAAAAATCCATCTGAAACTAGACTTCATTAGTTCTGGCATTCAGAGAACTATTTGTAGTTTAAATATTCATTGGTATTTAAATGTGTTAATTTCAATAAGCATTTGATATTTCTGTATATTGTGCCAAATTCATTCCTAATGTAATGGTTTTAAAGCCAGAAGGAATGTATCCAGAAAGAATTGTTCAATTTACATAAACTACTCATTACAGCTCTTTTGATTTTTTTTAATTCAATCAAAACTGGTTTGAAATTTTTGTTTGATTGAATTATATTGTATATTAAAATTTCAAATTGTGCTGATTACAGTTCTGTTGCATTTGACAACTGCAAAATAATTCCACATTATAAAATAGAGCTTATCATAGAAAGCTGAAGGGCTAATTTCTCTGATCTGCTAAAGATCCCTCACTCCTGCGCAAGTTGAGCAGTCTACAGTCGAACACCGGAGAGCCAGCCCGGTGGAAGCGTTTTCTGCCCGCTGAGCTCTGGGACATAAAGCCAAAAACATATCCAGATCCTGCTCCCACCCTCCGAGTCGGTGGGGCAGAAGACATGGTTCACCAAGTCTGGTTCTTCGCTGGTATATATTCCCTATGTAAGTGGTATTACCCAGGCTTAGTGTTTAGTGTTCCTGTTTCTGTGCCTTTTTAATTCTTTTATGGCTAAGTGACTCTGCGCAAAAGACGCAGCGATAACTACCTTTCTTTTCTTTAATCCAGACCAGTATTAAAGTGGGCTTTGGCAAAGCGTGAAACTTGCTGCCATTTTGAACGTCTTGTTTGAATATGTGTGTTCAAATTTTTCTGCATTTTGAGTTTAGCTCTCTTTTGTAGAACAGGAGACCTTTTTTATACATAATGAATTGCAGTCTCCACTGAGTATTACCATTGAGAGCAGAGGATTAAAATCATCCTTTGTTAAGGAATACCATTGCAATGATACGCATTTAAACATCAAAGCATTAGTTTATGAGCACAGGCATGCTTTAATGTCCTATTACAGTATGTAGACCTGTTTCTTTTGATAATGAAGACATTGTGTCATCGGCATAGGCTGCCACATACAAAACGTATGCTGGCAGGTTATTAAAAAATTCAGCTTCTTGATGAAAGACTATCCTGCAGGCTAAGAGTACAGTGAAAAGACTCTCCATTCTGGTAGAATTATTAGAAATGAGAATATGACTGTAAGCACTAAATTATGTTAATACTTACAAATAGCATCATTTGCATAGCAGTTTAAGACACGATACCCAGATTTTTCTCATTGGTATGTAGTAGGCAACAGATTCAAAATAATGTAGTTTGTGAGTTTGAACTGTGTAAAAAAGCTATTCCATCTAAAAATGAGACTGATTTTAGATTCCTCATTTCAAACGTAACATAGGGCAAACAAAAGTGCGGGACAGGATTATCGACGTATTTTACCTTGTTAACTTAATGCAGCATCTGAGTTATCTGAACAATTATTTTGCTACTGCATAAAGGGTAGAATTCACAAGCTATGCTGAATGCCTCTGTAAGGCCTTCGTCCTACTGTGCGCTGCTGAAGTCTTGTCAGCATATAAAAAATTTCATCCTGAGGCCCGGATTCTAATGATATTCAATATCAAGAGAACTGCTGCCTCCACAAGTGCGCATTTGGCAATTGTGAGGCCATTTGTGGAGACATTCTCCAGTGTGAAAAAGAGTATCGGGATCTGGCTCCAGTTATGCACAAAATCATCAGTAAGTGCTGAGACACCTTAGCAGTTTAATTGCATCTTGCAATGTGAATGACTGTTGTAGGGAGCAAATAAATTCATAGATTTTTAACTGTTTAATATATGCATGTAAGGCAGGTGTGCTGCGTGAAATGCTCTTATGCTATTCTACCAAGATTTTCCAACCTATTTTCTGTACCGATTCAAGCTTCAGTTAGTCCATGCATAGCAACAAATGTGGTTCTGCTACTACTGGAGTAAGTGAAAAAACAATAGAACAATTGGGCCTGTTAGGAATATCTCGGGAAAGCTACCCATCATAAT